GGGGGAGAATAAACTCTGTAGTCCCAAAAAAAGAAGATAGCTGCAAGTAGGCACTGTGTTATTTAACAGATGTCCCTTGTTAGTGAACACAGCCTGACTTGCACCTTAGCTGCCCAAACTTGCAAGCAGCCCAGTACAGATATAAGACTCATATGGAAGAAGGTGGGGAGGGAAAGAGGGGGAAAACATTTACTGGCATTTCCCACCTCTCCAAAACAGCGAACTTCGCTTTGGTTTCGTTTCTCTTTTCCCCCCTCTCTCCTCCTTTGCCCTCATCCCCCCAACCCTGTGCCACAGTCTAGCCGGGGAACCAAAGCACCAAGAGAGAACAATAATAACAAATATATAGAGATGTAAAATAACAAAATTAATGCAATTCCGGATTTTTTTCCCTCTGCTTTTTGCCCCAACATTAAACACGCGCTCTCAGATGCCCTTAGCAGAACAGCCAGGCGGGGAGGGCAAAAAGTGTCGAGCTGGTGGGGGGCACCAACTCCTTGGACTCGGTTCCTTTGGAAACCCAGGCAGCAAGGCGGCCTCCAGATATTAAATTGTGGCAACGTCCAACAACTGGGATGGATGGAGGGATGGATGGATGAATGAGGGCTTTTTAGTTATTGGCGTGTTGTCTCGCCTTATGTATTGCTCGCAGACCAATGCAATTTGGCGAGTGAATTAAAAGTAGCTCCAGCTCCACGGGTTGGACCTTGCCCAGGACACATTCACGTAGCACGTTTCACCTAGGCAAGGGCATTTATAATCATGCCAACCTTGCCGAAGTTTGGGAGGAAAGTCTAGGCTTTGGAAGGAGTCCTCCTGCCTTTTTTTATTATATTTTTTTAATTAATTTTTTTTTGGTTCGCTTTTTATTTTGCTTGCTTCTTTGCTTCCTCCTCCTTCTCTCTCTCTATATATATTTGTGTATAGGTGCTCGGGGATGTTGTATTGGAGACCTGTGTGATAACCGTGTGACTAGGAGTCGAGAAAGTTAAGTGTTTTATTACTTCGCTAAACAGAGGGCAAGTCTTAAAAGTCTGCTCGATTTATAGGGAACAGAAACCAGCTGCCGTAAAGAAACTTAAAATAGGGTTGCTCTCCCCATCTTAAAAGAAAAGAAAAAAAAATAAATAAAGAAAGAGAAAAGAGAAAAGACAGTAAAATCAGATTTCTGTGAAAGGAAGAAAGAAAATGGCCCACAACAACACCAAAAGCTTCTGCAAATATAAATAAGCCATCATTAAAGTCCACTTTACTTACTGCAGTCCATCAGCCTAATATTATATATGTATGTATCCATGTATATATTTCCCATTTACATTTTTAGCAGACTGGGAATTTCGGGAAACAATTTCAGCCTATTATGCCACTATCCCCCCAAAAGGTATTTATTTATTATATTTTATTTTGTCTCCCCCATGAAAACATGCACAGGGAATATGTGGTACGCTCGCTGGTGAAATTGGTCTGCAAACAATTATGTAAACTCATCAGCAGAAGCAAGAACAGATGTTTTATTAAAAGTGCTACACAGCAGTGGAAATATGTACAAGTCTTCGAGTAGCTCTTTAATAGGAGTTGCTCTTTGTTCCCAGAAAAGAAAGGCTCCCATAGAAAATCTGAAATAACATTCACCACTCATAATCCATATTTACCCTCCTTGTTTTTTTTTTCTCTTTTTCCCCCCTTTCTCCTCGCTCTGATGTTCATACAGAAATAAAAAAAAATAAAGGAAAAAAAAAAAGGAAAAAAAAAGTGTGTCGGGAGGTTTCCTCCCCCCTCTCAGCTATAATTAGCGAATTGATGAACTGATTTAGAAAGAGGGCTTCGACGTAAATAAATAAAAATAAAGCAATCCCAGCACATGTGTTTTCTATCCCTCAGTAATTATTGAAAGGAAACAAATCCAAATCCGTGTGTGTGCGTGTCTCCCCCCCCCCGCACCCCCCCGCCTTCTTTAAACAGCCTTCAGCCTTAATAAACCGCTACTGCCAGGCTCGCAGGCTGCCGTGCCCCCCCGGGATGCTGCCTGTTTGCTGGCAAAGGGGATGGATTTGGGGGGTTCCATTCTTTCCCCTTCCACAAAATTTCCCCCCCGCGGGGGTCCGCGATGGGCCCGGGACCTGTTTGCCTGCGGCCCGGGAGTTGCCCCGGGCCCCGGTTCCCTTTCACCCTCCGCTCCAAAAATCTAGGTAGAAATAAATATTCTCTCCCTGGGAGTTCCCGCATGGCTATTTCCCCTGACACCTCGATTTTGGGGGTGTCAAAGACGTAGAAACTGGTGGCTCCAAAGACGAAATGCCCTCATTCCCTCACCTCCGCGCGGGCGCAAACCACGCGCGCTCTCCCCTGACATATGGCCATAAGTGCTGCGCGCGCCCATCTGATTAAATCCTCGAAGCTGTTAGAGGTAAATAAACACATTTATAAGCGAGGGCATTAAAAGTCCCCCTCCTTTTTCTTTTTTTCTTCCTTTTTTTTTTTTTAATTGAAACTACTATCACCTTGT